TTTTTTTCCAAACTGTGATGACAAAGCTTCCAGGGCTCAGAGAGGGGAGTTTGGAGAGAGCTTGAGGGCAGCTGGGGCTGTCCCTGCAAATGGCTGGTCTGTCTGTAGTAAATCTGGCCTTTCTTGCTTCCAGGCACTGGCTTCCCCTTATCCTTCTGCAGGCAGCTATCATCTCTGTTCCTTCTGGCCCCAGATCACTGCAGCTCTGCTCTCACCTATGCCTCCCACCTGAGCTTCCACCCATTCCCTTTGGTCTGCCTACACTTCTCTCCTTTTCTTCCCGTTGTCCTTGACTCTCCCTGCCCCAGGCTGCAACAGCATCTGAGTCCAGGCAAGCCACATCTCCATCCTTCTTCTTCAAACGCCACCTCTCAGTAATGCCCTTTTACAATCACTACTTTGCACGTGTCTGTGACTTTACCCTGGGAGCTCTCCAAGGCAGGGGACTCAGATGCCTGTTTGGGGTTTTCTGCATATCGTATTTTAGCTGGTACAAAGAAAATCTAATGCAGTATAATTAATAATCCTAACACCAGAGAGCACGCTCCACATCTGGCCTCAATCAGGCAAAGATGGGAAGGGAAAGAATCTTATACAGCGGTTGCCCAGCTATGGGCTCTTTGAGGTGACACAGCAGTGGCATACTAAGGAAGTGACAAGACTCCAGCGTTGTAAATATATGCATGAGAACACATGTAGCAGCCCAAATAGTGAGTTGCCGCAAGTGGCTATAGAAAGGGAATGACTGGCCACACAGATTACTCTGCTAACTGTGGCTGGTCCAAGCTGGAGGATAATGGTCTCTGAATGATCCTTACAAGTCAGCAGTTCAGCAGCATTAATTTGTTCATGTCCTGTAATCTATACCACTGGCATCACTGCCACTTAGAGGAGGCAGCCACTCTCAGCCCTGCCAGCCAGCTTCTGATATTGCAGTCTGCTCACACATCATAAGTGTTTTGTCTCTAGTTGCGGCACTGCTGTGTTCACATGTTCTCCAGCTTCCCTGGGCTGCCAGTCATTGCCAATGTCTGGTTCACCATTGTCTGTCCAAGTCACCTCCATTTATATGTGGGCCTTTCTTCATCATTCATTCAACCCAAGCTAGACAGCCAGCCTACATGTCAACCTACTGTCCCAAGCTTCCTTGTTCCTGAGGAGAAATTGTAACTCTTTCTCACTCAGTAGGTAACAAAGCAGAGGGAGTCAGTAAATTGAGACATGCCTTTCTCATAGAAAAAAATGCAGAAACATCTAATTCTCCACATCAGGTCTTTTGCACAGGGCCAAGATATGGCTGTGCTGCCATCATGGGACTCGGGGATGTGGTGACTTTCATGCGGGGAAAACTGTCCTTTATCTTTATGGCCATTTCTGTGGCACTGGCGGATCTGACCCTAGCAGACTTCCCTGCATCGCACCTAGTGACTGGAGCACTGAAGGCTGCTTAGTAACAGCCCCCAAAAAATCCTGAGCTGGATCTCTCAGCCAAGTGCTTTTGTTCCCTTGTGAAGAAGAAAGCTCTTTTCCACAGCTGGATTAGCAAATAAACTGTGTGATGGGTGTGTAAGGGTTGTCCCTGCACCAAAGACCACCACATTTCTCTGCCCTGTGGCACAGCAGCCCAAGCACAATTCTAGTTACTTCCAACAAAGCTGGAAAATGAAAGGTTTTTTGCAGCACAAAACTCCACCCTGACACTCGATATCTCTTCATGCTGCTCTCCTCCCTCTTTTTCCCTATCACTGTGAGCATCGTGTTAACCCAGCAGCTCCATTCACTGCAAAGCTCCTAGTCTGGCTCCTGGTCAGGCAGATACTTGGAGTGTCCCTTTGCTCTTGGGACGTCAGAGTGGGTTGCCTTAAGTTGGTGGGTTTTATTCGTTCCTAGCAAGCAGACAAGTGAGTATAGCTTTTTACTATTGTTCAATAACGTTGTTGATAAAGCCAAGCTGCACGGTTCCATGTTTTCACATTAGCAACATCTTAACATCTTTGCCAGCAGCCTGTTGCTTCTTGAATGATACTTAGCTAGGTAACAATCTGCCTTCTTCTCCACTTTCTAGTACCTCTTGCCCTATTAGCTGGTCTGTAGTTCACTTGCCATGCCTAAACTGAACCACAGAATGTGGTCAGTAGTTCAGTTCAGCACCAAAGAAAAACAATAGGTGTCTGTATCTGGAACCTCTGTATCTTATGCAGAAGGATCCTGGAGTCCTGCATGTGCAGGGATAGCTCACCTACTGCCACAGTGCAGCCACCTTTCAGGTGGCATGTGGCAGGTGTTTAACAAGGCACATCAGCACTGCGCATTACATCTTTAGGGAGAAATTGAAAGTTGAGTAGAGACCCTCCATGTAATCTCCTGGGTTTGGAATTTGGCCAAGAAGTCCAAGTTATACATGCCAGGTATTACAACTTAATAACCAAGAGCAGCCAGGCCTCTGTTTCACTGCATTTCCAGCAAGACAGTTACCAACCAGGAGCATGCAGGAGCATTAGCTCAGCAAGTATATATAGAAAATTTGTGGGAACTGTCACTACCATTTGTGGCAGCCCTAGGAGGTTCTCTGTGGAGGGATGACCTAGGAACTCTCCTTCCAGAAGAAATCCATCTGCGACCTAGGAGAGCTGGGAAGTTTCTGGCTCTGGGAGGTCAGGCTGCTGGTTCATTTAGACTGGTTTCTTCCATGTGCAAACTGCACTTTTGGTACAGAGGAGGGAATGCCGCTCTGGCGATAGCTATACCACGATAGTCTGCACTTCAGTCTTGTGGCTGAGGCAATAACCCTTTCCCACCCACTCCCACTTCCTGTGCATCAAGCCCAGAAATTAGATTTTGAGGACATCCGGAAGGGTCCTCTGGCATTTACTTAATGCTGGTGTTTCCAGCATGAGCTCAAGAGCAGAGGCTTGGGGCATGCTCAGAGCATCCACACTGCCTCATTTCCTACAGCGGACAGATATTTCCTGGTTACTGGAACAGAGGATGGTCCTGTTACCAGGGAAGGGACCACACCATTTCTGCTGCTCTCAAGACCCTTCAGGGTCTCCTTACGTCATTGAATGGGGTGCTCTCCCATCCCTCTCTCTCACTAGGTGAATTGCTTTGGTCAAGTGCATCAGGAGTTGCTGTGTCACTTTTGAAGCTGTCTCTTTTTTTTCACGTCACCAGCTGGCCTTGATTAGAGTGTGAGTCCCCACCGGCTTCAATTAAGGAGCAGATGTGACCCAAGAAATGGGATAGCAGCTGGGGATGGAGATGGCATATTCATAGCACTAAGTCTAATCAAACAACTTCTCACATTATTCTCACTGTGAGGTGGGAGACGTGTGAGCCAAAGGCAAGTCAGTGCTCGGAGCGCCTGCTGAGACACGTTGCTAGCAAAGCCATCTGTAATGAGCTGACCATGCCATTCAACACAGCAGTGCAATCTCAGTCAAGGGCTGCTTTTAATCCATTTAAATGCAGTAAAGGACCCAGAGGCTGAAAGTTGAGCCAGGTACCTGAAAAATAATGTGGTTACTGTCAGGCAAGGGCTAACCAGCAGGGAAGATGCTGCTGCACTAGACCTGGAGACATCATTGCGCCCATAGCAAAGGGGATGCTGTTGTTCTAAACCTGGAGATGTGATTATGCTCCTGGCATTGGAGGTGTTGGTGAATTAGACTTGTTGACATGGTTATACCTGTGGTGGAGGAGTTGCTAGCACAGACCTGGAGACGCCATCGTGTTCATGGTGGAGGAGATGCTGTAGAAATTCTTATGTTCATGACAAAGGAGATTTCTCATATTTGACCTGTAGTGGGTAGATGTTGCCTGGAGGCAAGTAGATTTTATCAGGCCTGAGGGAGAAGAGTAGTTATAATACAGGAGGTCTGCTATAGAGACAATTCTTTTTCCTTTTTGAAGCTTGGTCCATCCAACAGTCATTTTGTACCTTTGCAGATGCTGGTGCAGTCTTCCTCATTTCAGTAGGCAAGCTTGTGTTTTTCCCCACCTTCTATTAGTTTTAATTTAGTGCTAGTGGAAGGTGCCAAATTGGTAGCTCCTGGAAGTGAAGTTCCTGTTGGTACTTGAAATAGGTGGCAACCCACCAGGCTCTGCTCACCCTGCCTGCCTGGCCCCTGAAAGCGTTACAAAAAGTAACAAACAAATCATCCTACTCCCCTTACCTCAGCAGAACAGATAAATGCCATTATCCCTACGCTAGTGAAAAGGGAAAATGAGGCATGGAGCGGACAAATGATTTACCTCCCAAGGTAAGACAATAAAGATAAAGAGGGGCTAGAACTCTGGAGTACTTACAGTCAGTCCTCTGATTTAACCACTGAGTTGCACTTCCTTGCAGATCTCTTGATGCTTGCATTAAGTACAGCCTCTCTAATGCTCCCCATGGAGTGTATGCTGTATTGGGACAGACAATGTACATCCCTCCAGAGGGATAGGCAATTTATATATTTTTAACTTTCCTCTATTGAACAATGAACAGGAGAAAATGGATTTCAGTGTTTAGGAGCTAGTGCAGCTTGCAGGTCAGACTGGATTCAAGGAATTACTACTACCGTTATTCTGATTTAAAACTTGTGGGTCTAATGCAAGCTGCAGAGCTCAGCAATGTGGGTTGTATGTCTGATCACAAAGGGTGGCTTGCTGAAACTCCAGGGCTCAGCAGCAACGTCCCACTATAACAGCTTGGATCAAGATGAAACCTTGTCTCTCCATCCATGCTTTCCATAGGTGATTCCCTCTCCCCTCCTCCTATATGTCAGAGACTTGCAACCTGTTTCAGTCCAGATGCAAGTGGCTGTCAGAGAGCTGATGGGACTCTTGGCTGGGCAAATCTTTGGGAAATGGGAACTATATCAAGACTGGTGGGTGCCTGCATCATGACGGATGCTATGGCAATGAACGAGGGTTTAAGTGGTACAACAGACTGTGCTGGAGACTGCTGTTTCCACTGATGGCTTTTCTGTCTGTTTTTATCATTTGACCTCCAGTCCCCCCAGTGGTGGAACCAACTTTCCAGGACATTCGCCAGGGCTTAGGCCGCAGCGTCACCCTGCGCTGCACCATGCTGAAGGGAAGTCCCATGAAAGTTGCCACTGCTGTCTGGCGCTTCAATGGAAATCTCTTGACGCTGCCCCCAGCAGAGCAGCAGGACTACTCAGAGCTGAAAGTGGATAGCGTGAGCCGGGACACCAGCGGTAGCTATGAGTGCAGCGTTTCCAATGATGTGGGGGTCTCCACCTGCCTCTTCCAGGTGTCTGGTGAGTCTTGCAGGTTGCCTTGTTCTTGTTCTCTTTTTAATTGACTTGTGTAATGCACCTAGTGGCTGGGGAGTCCTGGAGACAGAAGTCCCCTTCTCCTTGAAAAGAAATAGTGCAGGCAAGCTTCCTCCACGCCATTTCCTAACCAGAATGCTACAGTTGTTCTGGAGGGACCGTTCTCTGGATCCAGAAGGGGAGATTAACCTCTGTGTCTCATGCAGTCCTTCGTACCTCTGCTTGTACTGCCTGGGAGGGAAGCCAATCAGTGCCAGTTGCCTTGGTACATTTTTGTGGCATGCACACCAGCCTGAAAGAAACAGGGCTGGGACCCACCCCGCACATGTCACACAGGCTTACTTATATGGCTCTCTGATGGTATCAGTTGTAAGCTATAAGCAACCCGAGTCAGATTTAAACGTTGACCAATTTGGGAAGAAAGATGGTGCATCTCAGCACAGGTTCCCTAAAGTGCCCAGTCCCCTCTCTGAAAATAAAGCCATTCCTAAAAACATGCATTCCCCTGGTTTCCCTAAGTCTTTGGACTGTCTTTCTGCAGCGATGCCTGCTTAGATAAAAACCAGGCAGGAATGATACTCAGTGGATTTGCCACTGAGCTTTGCTTAAATCCACCATGTACAGCAAACAAAATCCTTCCCAAGACCATAGGCACAAATGGGGCAGCAGTGTTTCAGCAGCAAAAAACACGTCTGCCCCAGCTACTTCTGCTGATCATTAAATCTGTTTTTCCCATGACCTAAGGATTGACTTGGGTGCCGGTTTCCAGACAAGCTCTTTATAAGGAGTTGTCTTGATCAGCTATAGACTCAGCTGAGGTACAGAGCTTTCTCACCACTGTAGCTGTGCAGTGTATTCCAGGACAAGCCTGAGCAAACCAGATCAAAGGGAATACAAAGAGGCCAGATCTTTTCTGAGGTTTGAAAGGCTCCAATGCCAGCACCTCCCATTTGCTTTGGTTGAGTTCTCACAATGTCTCTGCCCTTTAGGTTGTCCTTTCAGGAACATAATTGGTAAAACCCAGCCTATCTATTAGTTCCAGGAATATCATTGCTCTCAGCAAGTTTCCACCTGATTTTTCCATATGTGCAAAGTTGGGATAATTCAGAGAAACATCCCAGTGTTTAGATGCTCTAACAAGCCAAGCAGTCGAAATCACAGGAGAGGCTATAAAGCTGTGCTCTTCTGACATGCTCTTGAGCCACTACCTGAAATCAGGATTTCAAATACTGTAAAGTTCACATTTTGGTTTAATGGTTCTTGAAGAACTGGGAAGATTTGAATTTTGAACCCCCTCAAAGTTTGGGAGTAAAGAGTCATCTTCATAGGCCCTGGATTGTGCTCTATGTTGCTGCAAGTGATAAGAATGTCTGCCTCTGTGCATGTGAAAGCTAGCAGAGGGGGGTGAGAGGTAGGTGAGGACTGCTTTGTCTTGCGTCCTGCTTGTCACTTTTCAAGCATTTGCAGCAAGCTGATCACAGAGACTTCCCTCAGTTATGTCCCTCTTTTCTAGACATCCCACTCTCATCCCTTTAGACTTCTGGAAGTTCATGTGACCCCAGATTTCTTCTAAAAGCTTTGCTCCTCACTACCCTTTCTTCCTATGGCCCTGGTACTTCTCCCACAAATTAAATCATGGCGAAATGTGATCCTCTCTGCTCTGCCAAATGACACTTAATTTCCTGTGGCATAGGTGACGTGTAGGAAGGGCACAGGGGTCACATGCCCCCCTGCCTGTTGATGCAGCCAGCAGCAGCTGCAGGCAGTCCCCACTCATCACCCACTGCTCACCATCCTCACCCCCCCACTGCTGACACAACTGGTGGCGGCTGCAGGCAGTCCCCACTCGCCGCCATGGTGCCCCCCCAGTCGCGGGAAGCACCAGTCGTTCATGTCTTGTGTGCTCAGAAATGCTTCTAGCATGTGGATTCTTTCCTGCAGCTGGTAATGAATGAATTAATGCCATCCAGTTTGTGGTGCTCTGCCCCATGAGATAGGATCCTGGGAGAAGCAGGTAGCATCCATCTTCAGAGAAGGCACTCATCACAAATGCCACACATATTCCTTTTGCTACATCCTTTCTCAACTTTGAGGACACCAGTATCCAATGCTGGCTTTTGCCTTCAAATTTCCCTTCCCATTCTTATGCACCAGGGATCTCCACATCAAGCGAAAGTTTGAATAGTAGCCAAAGAATTAACTCAATGATTAAGCTACTAGTTTGGGTTTAGGACTACTCAGATTTAATTCCTTCTTTCCTTTGGGTGTTACCTTGGACAAATTACTTAGTTTTCCTCTATCTCAGTTCCCATCTGTAAAATGAAGATAATGATTCTTCCCTGACTCACTGGGGCATTTGGGTGCATTAAAGACCTTCAGGTGTTGAAATACTCTAATAGTGAGATTTAAATAAGTGCATAAGATGGTGGGCCCTGATTTATCTCCTTCCACCAACAGGAAATCAGCTTGTTATAAAATGTACTTCAGGAGCAATGTGACATTCCCCCCATGCCCACCATGAACAGACTGGCAAATGCTGCCATCACATTCACATGGTCCAGTCAGTCAGTGTACACCTTCTAACTGACTTCATTGACTTGTGATCTCCCCAGGAAGCGGTTTGAATGCATTTTTCTCTTCCTATAAAACAGAGCGGGGAAGAAAAACCATCTAGCAAGAGTTAAACTTTTCAGAAAGGAAGTTTTAAAAGTATCTGACATTCTGCATTCTTATTAAAAGCCCCTTTTCTCCTTTTTTTGCTTCCATTTCTATCTTGGAGTCAATTAATAGGGAATTAATATTATGCAAGACGATGATTATCATCAGTTCTGATTTTATTTCTGAATCCATTATGCAACTTGACTTCCACAGTCAATACAAGTTGAATAAGCAGCAATTAGTCTCCGAGGTGGTTCTGAATTTCTTGCTCTCACAAAATTTAAGTCAATAAAAATAATAAGAAAAAAAGGACTTGGAAATAAACATCAATAATATCCATCTGAGTTCATAAAAAATAAACATTGAATCCTTTCGAGCCTAATTATATCCACACAGAGTGGCAGGGCCCATGATTCAAGTGGATGGGTGAAGGAGTGCGGTCTGGCAGAAGGAACAGTTGGGAAGATGGTGCTCATAGTCGCTCCTTATTCCAGCAACTCATGGCTTAGAGAGAGCCTCAGTCTTTGGAACTCAAATCTAGATCTGAGCTCTCCTAAAGTCTGGAGACAGACTTATCAAATTTCTGCTCTTGCCTTCCCCCATTTCAGTCCTGGGGCAGTCTAGCTATGGCCAGATAAATGTCATCTCAGGCTGACCACATTAGTGCTTACCCTGCTGCTCAGTTTTGTCCTCTGCCTTGAGTTTCATGCTTCTGGGGTTACACTACTACCAGCCCCCAACCTAGTTTGTTTAAAGATGGCCAGGATACAACTACATGATGCTAGTCATGGTAGTGACCACAAATGTAGACACACCTTCAGTGAGAGCAGTGTGAATGTGGAACCACTCCACTAACCTTTGTGCACTGACTTGGGATTTACACTCAGGTGAGGGAGAGCAGAACGCTGCCCAGCCCCCAAGGAAGGGGGGCTTTCAGAAACAGTGGGCGAATGCCAGAAAGCACAAGACTTTGTTCAATTAGGCTCCGGAAAATATGGCTGCTTCCCTCTCACAGCTGAAGCCCAGACAAAAGCACTTTTCTTCAGGGTATTTTAATGCCTTTTGACACACCAGAAAAGCTGGAGCACAGTGGGAAAGGAGATATACTTTCAGCCAGTTTTGGCTCATGTGCCATGTTGATTCTTATTTTACCCCACTTTATCCCTCCTTCAAAGCCACTGTGGCCAGGTACGGACATTACACTTTTACTGGTATAAGTGCTCAGAAACCAGTCTATACCCATAACAGAACAGAAGTTTGGCACAGATAGACTGGTTTGAAAATTGCAGAAGATTTGCCTCCCCCTCCCTCCCCCCAGCAAAGGGCAAATGCGTTTTCTGTTCACTACCAATCTAAACTATGCTTTTTACAGAAAACCACATAATTTAGACTAATTCTGCCTTGGGCTACTTGCATGTCCGTACCTAGCCTTTATGTCTTATTTGTGGTGGGAGAGGAAGAGCTGCTGTCATGTGAAAAGTACTGAAAATCTTTCCATGTGCCATCCCTGTTACTTCTTCCTAGGGGATGTTTTCTTCTGTGTTTCTCTTCTGCTGTTGCTCTTTCTTACTAGGAAGAGACATTGCCTTAGCCACATGACCTCTGTTCTTTTCCAGTCCCCCATGCCCTCTGCTGTTTTATTCCATGGCTGAGGTGGGAACCCTTCCATTGTGGAGGTGACTGTCATATTAAAAAAGGGCCTGGGCAAAGTGCTGCAGTGACCTAGGGTATTTATGAGGGGCAACATGCCTTTTTTAAGTCTTGGTGATAAATAACACATCCAATATGACCTGTTGGCCAGGTTTTGTGAACAGGAGGCTTTGCGAAGTAGTCACAGGAGGAACAAATAGAAAATACATTGGTTTAAAGTGGTTGTCTCCATCTCTACAACAAAGAGGAGATTAGAACTAGTTCAGCCATAGAACTAAAGTTGTTCCTGTGTCTCCTCGTGTAGTGGTGTGTGCCATGCTGGGGTGCCTGGGCTGTAATACACCCTGCAGGCTCAACAGTAACCACCAGAGGTTGGCAGACCCATATGGCTTGAGTGGCTTATAACACATAAATGAGGTGCCTGATATGATGCCAGCCTGCCCATTTTGGACTCCAGATCAACCTCCCTGCTGTAGTTGGGCAGATGAGTTGGGGGAGTGAAGCCAGACCACGCTAAGGGCTCCCCCTATGTATTTTACCCTCCCCAACCACTTACTCATTTCCCTCTTTTCTCCCTAGCAAAAGCTTACAACCCAGAGTTTTACTATGACACCCCCAACCCCACCCTGAGCCAGAAGCAATCCAAGAACTACTCCTACATCTTGCAGTGGACACAGAAGGAGCCTGATGCGGTGGATCCCATCCTCAGGTATCGCCTGGAAGTCCGGCCGGTAAGACCCCCAAACCATTCTTCTCAAATGCCACACGCTTCCCTGGAAAGACAAGGTTAGGATGGTTAGGATGCAACAGTCTCCACTTGTTGCAGAAGTGAAGTAGTTGTAGTATTAACAGAATAGCCAGAAACTGCAGGCATGGACATGCCTTTCCCTGCTGAATAGAAGAGGGAAGCCAATTGTGCCACTCACTGGTGATTTTGAAGTCTGATTCTGTGGATGTGGAGAGCTGAGGAGGCCTGCTGCCTGCCTTTGGACTTTTCTGAATGGGGTTTTAATACGAAGAAAACCCTCCAGTCATTAGCAGGTATTGTTGATTTTTATAAGCCAAAGATTCAGGCAGATAGAATTTCAACCTCTTCACTCATACTGAAGCTGAAGAGCCCTCCAGGCTGGAAATGCAGGGAAAAGTTGTTGGCTGTTTGTGTTACAGAAGGGCTTTCATACAGTCACAATAATGAAGTCACTGGAATTATATTTATATAAGTTCTGCGGACACAAAAGGGTGGGTTTCAAGGATGCTCTAGCCTAAAAGAAGGCACAGAGCATCCAGTGGGAGACTGGTAAGAGCTCTGGCTAGAGAGTGCCAAGGGAAGGAATTGGACATTTTTCAGAGCATGTGAAACAGACAGTATTGCAGGACACTTCCACCTTTTTACCTCAGTCATAATGCTCTCTTCTTTCCAACTCTGCACAAAAAACAAGGATTTTAAGATTGGTTCACCTCAGAGTTTGAGGACATCCTGGTAATGAATGTGTTTGCTTGAAGTTTGGGTGGAAAAAATTATTTACTATATACACAAAACAAAATAATTAAAAAAGATATAAGTGTCTGCTTCCTCTGGGTCACAAAGTGCGTCTTATCTTTATGGCTCTGTCGATTGGGAGGTCTCCAGGGAAGGCTTTGCCTTTATATTTGTTTCTCGTACAGCGCAGAGCACATTGTCCGTGCTTAACAAATACTAATACTATAGGACACAGGGGAACTTCTTATAATGAAGTCACTTTGTCATAGTACAACTTTACTGTAAGCTGAGATTCAAAATAAGCAGAATTGCAATTTCCACATTTGCAATTCACTGAAATAATTCAGGGCTTTTATTGTTTTTCCATCCTTAACCAAGTTTCTTTCTAACCAAAGTGACTACTTTCAGTCTCAGATCTGATTCTCATTTATATTGGGGCCCCTTATGAGGGAGAAAAATTACATTTGCACCTCCAGCGTGATGTCAAGGAGCCTAAATGCAAATGAGAATCAGTCCTGCTATATATTGCCGCTGCCCTGTCTCTTTGCCATCGTTAAATTCTAATAAGAAATATCTTTTTCTGCAGATGCAATTTAAACACATTGCACAGATTGATTATTGGTTATATGCTACTACAATAGAGTTTGATCTACAGTGGGGCCACAGTAAGGTACATTAATCTCACCCTAAGACATGCTCATATTGCATTGCTCAAAGTTCCTGCATTACTTTGGCCTGGTCCTGAATAAGGTATGGCAAAAACCTGGAGGACGGATGGACAGCGCTCAGTTGTGTATGAACCAGGAACTGAATGCAATAGGCTTCTACCACCCTGCCGTTTCTTGGTTCTGTTTCTTCACTGGTGATCAGAGAAGCACAGGTCTGGAAGGGGCTTCCTGAGCCATTGTATCCAATCATTTATTTGGAGGGTGCTCCTCTTCAGCTGTCCATACTTGAACTCCCATAGAGCTTCTTCTAGTCTTGACTATGTGTACCCTCTTTCTGGGTATTCCCTCCACACCCAAGGTTTTAATAATCCCCTTCATCCTGGTGACTTTCAGCTCTGTCTCTGCACTCCCAACTTGTCTTCTTCCATCCAATCCTCCTCTTAGCCTCTCTCCAGCATTTTCTCCAGGCGAAAATGCTGGAGCCAGCCAACACCTAGTAGCCAAAACAGCCCTCCTGGTCCTCCCACTTTCCCCCTGCAAGCCCTTCCCCATTATCCATCACTGCCTTACCCTGCCCTCGTTTTCCCTCATTCTGTATTTCTCAGTTCATTTTTTAACCCAGGGCAGGGTATACAGACTACTTTTTGTCCTGTTGTTCAGTCCTCTCAGTTCCTCTCCTACTTGGTTTCAAGTTGCAGCAAGGGAAGTTTAGGTTAGATATTAAGGAAAACTTTCTCACTAGGAGGGTAGTAAAACACTGGAACAGGTTACCCAGAGACTGTGGAGTCTCCATACTTGGCTGTTTTTAAGACCCAGGTAGACAAAGCCTTGGCTGGGATGATCTAGTTGGGAATGGTCCTGCTTTAAACAGGGGGTTGGACTAGATGATGTCCTGAGGTCCCTTCCAGCCCTCATTTTCTATGATTCTTTGATTCTATAGAGGATGATAGTGACTGTAACTGAGAAAAGCACAAAAAAAAGGTGCTGAAAAGCTTTGCTGAAAAAAGCCTTGCCATCTGAAGTGCTCTCAAGAAAGATTTGTCCAGGTGAATGATGAGATATTGTTTGTCTGTGAACTTCTTATCTCACTTGATACTATACAAGTTTCCAAAGGCTACCTGTGGCTGAATGGAAGTCCTCCAAGAGATAGTACATGACTAAGGATTGTGATGGAGTATTCCCTTGGAGACATCCAGTCAGGATTTATTTATTCCCTGGGTTGAAGCTGATCTGGTTCATCAACCCATCAGAATTTGCCCATTCCTCAGCACTCTGGGAGGAGCCCACTCTCACTGGCCAACCAGAACTCTTCTCTCTGCATCATTCATGAGACATGGACAGGGCATCACGCTGAATCCTTCTAAACCAAGAGTTTTGGGTATTGACCAGTTGGTGGGGGACAGCTAAGTGACTACCTCTTGCTAAGCTGGAATTCAGGAGGAGCAAAGGGTTTTTACATGTGTCACAATTCTGCTAGGCTTAATTTTATTCCTCCTTGTTTGGCTTAGGGCTTTTGGTACATATAACGCAATGATTCTTAAACAGCAGCATGTTCTACAGGACCACTGGGAACCCTGGATTCAAATATGCCTACTACAGCTGCTGAAAATTGTGCCAAGTGGGAGTAGAAGCATTGCTTACAGATCAGCTGGTGCTGTGGTTCATAGCCTTCTGCCTTTTCCTGCTCGGCAGCTTCAGAAGGATAGTGGGCTTAGATGTAGCTGTGTGCTCTCGGGGTGAGGATGCTACAAGAATTGGGCTCCTCAGGGATGCTTTGTTTCCTGCATGGGGTCTCCCGGTGGGGGAAGGTTTAAGAATTTTCCTTCAGGATCTGGTGGTTCAGAGCACTGCTGCTAATGCTAACTATAATGAGAAACACACTGCTTCCTGTGTGGGAAGAAGTAACCCAAATATGAAATACAGCCTCATTGCTGGGAGCTACTGGCCATGCAAAGTGCAGCTTTTCACAGAGGACTGGTTACCGGTTTTGTGTCTCGTCTAGACTAAAGCTCCCAGGGCATAGCCACCACTCACTCCACACGGTGGCATTGGGCTCAGTTGTGATTCAAGAGGAGGATCCTTCTCTACCAAAGATTCACCAGAACCCTATCACATTATTTTCCAATGGATGGTTTTTTTCCCCCTTGAAGGTATTCAAGCCAAGTGCTGACCTGGGATAATCCCTCTTAGCTTGTGAAATCTAATGAGTTGTAGCCTCAAGCGGTTTGACCATGGCAGATTGGGCAGCCTAGGGGTATTTGTTTTTCTGCGTGTCGCTGCAGCATGGAAGGACACCAGGCACAGGCTGAAAACCTCCTTCATTGCTTGGGGAATTCAGAGCAGCCCACTCATACCAAGCTCTTGCTTGAAAAATAAAAAGCCTTTTAAGTTGCTTGTTTCTCTCTGTGTGTTTTATGCCCTCCCGGAGCTCTGCTCTAACATTAAAGTGAAATGAAAAGCCTTCTAATATTGCAAGCAGCTTGCATCCTGGAGGAAGGATCTGAGCTGAGCTGGTGGTTACGGTTATGGGGGAACGTGGCAGAATTACTGTGTACTTAATGAGATGGAACCCATCTGTGACCTGAGGCCAAGGGAGAAAGAGGCAGGAGAAGGTACTGGTGCAGGAGGAGCGTTTAATCTTCACTCTACCCCTCAAGGAGACCTGAGGCGGCTGTTTCCTCCTGAAGTTCGGATGCGCAGGCTTGGACCAAAACGGGGAC